TTTTTTTTTTGTGGAACCGAGGATTGAACTCAGGCCCTTGCGCTTGCCAGGCAAGCACTTATTCTACTAAGCTATCTCCCTGGCCCCTGGTCATGTTGATAGATGCACAAAAAGCATTTGACACAGTTTTACACCCATTCATGGTAAAAAGAAAGAAAACCTACAGAAAATTGGAATAGATGGTCTTTATCTCATTCTGATAATGGCCATCTATGAGAAACCCAACAGCTAACATCATACTAAATAGAAAGAAACTGAAAGCTTTCACTCTAAAATCAGGCACAATATCTTTTAAAATGTGTAGCTCAAGTTAATTTGCAAATGTTGTTGAGGATTTTGCACTTCGGTTTCCAAGTGAAGTTAGTCTGTACTGTCCTGATTTCAAGCAGTGCACCTAGTACATCTGCTTCGTTCAGTGGTGGTTTTATTCCCTGGTGCCTGGGAGCCACTCTCTCAGCTCTGAAATCAGTGAGCCGGCCTCCCTTTCCAAACTCTTCTCAAGTTGTATTTCTGGCACATGGAGGTGTTTGTTTTGCTTTTGCTATATTTGTGTCCATGTTTGCCTCGTTAGAGGGTGGGATGCATGGTCTTTCTACTCTGGGCCTGACATTCTTCTGTTACAGGATGGTTTGCCACAGCCATCCAGCTTTATGGGCTCAGGGAATGGCCTCCACCTTCACAGTGCTCCAGACGACACCTCTGTGCTTAGCATCCCTGGCACAGAGCCATGGGTGCATGCCTCACGCTTTTACTTAAGTTGTTGGTGAGCTTTGAGCTGTGCATGTTGCTCTCCAGCAACTCAATAAAAAGCATTCATCTTTACAGTTCAAAAAAGGATTGCCTGTCACTAACACATATCCTTTTATATTTTTCCTATCATTTCCATCAAGGTCAGAAATAACATTATTACTTTAAAATGTGTTTGTTCAGTACCACGTTCAGCAGCACATGCTTTGAGGGGAAGCATTCTTTGCTGTTTCTTTGATTCTTTTAAAAAACCCTGGCTTTGGATGTCAACTTCTTAAAAAAATATTTCACTGAATAAGGTTGACAGTTGTATGATTTCAGTAGACCCTTTTCCATTTGTGCAAGATAAAAGAGAAACATTTATTTGCATAAATATATAAATTTAGATTTCAGGATTTTTTGTACTAAGTCTAGCTGTTCCAGAATATAGAATAGGCACAATTATGCCAAATATAACATATATAATTAATTTTACAAAGACCACATTTACTGCAGATAGCTTTTTTTTTTTTTTAAAAAAAACTTTTTTGATAGTGGGGATTGAACTCCAGACCTTACACTTGCCCAGCAGGAATTTATGCTGCTGAGCTGTCTCCTCAGCCCATTTTAAACTTTTTTAAATTCAGATTTTATTGGGACATTTTAGACAGACGTAATAATCACATTCATCACGTAGAACTCATACCTATACATGATATAATTTGTTTTTTCATTCCCCTACCCTCCCTTCAATCTACTGACGCTATCTTGAAACATGTTACAATCTACATTGAGTTTTTTCTTAGAATACTAAACATATTTTTCCCATGGATCTTATAAATGATTTATTTCTATTTCTAGACAAATCCATGAATATTATTTAGATGGATGATAGAAGAGGCTCATCTGTGCATCCCCCTGTATGTGGCAGTATTTCATTCCAATGTCAAGTAGATCCAAAGCCTTGAATAGAAGCATGTGCAGTAGGCTTTGTTAATTTGCAGATGAGATGTTCAAACCTTGGGCAGTTTTAAAAATCAATTTGAGAAAAAAAAGTCTCTCATGTTGTATTTCTTATCTTGTTATCAGGGCTTTGTTTTGGGCCCTTTCAAGATTAATAGATAATGTGTACTTATGTTTTTAAAAGTGTTTATTTACAAATGGCTTAATGATTTAAGTTTTATTCACTTATTCTTAGGGCAATTGGAATGACTCAAAAGATGATTATTTTAAGGCTTCAGTGATTTTTGAGCAAGAGTTTATATACCTTCTTTACCAAAGTATCCATCCATAAAGCACATTTTTGACACACAAAATATTTTATCTTCTTCTATTCTTTTTCTTACCTTCTCCCTCCCTCTCTTCTTCCTCCCTCTGCTTTCTTTCCTTGTCACATAGTTTTCTTCCTCTTCTTTGCATTTTCCTCTTCCTCTCATAGCTTCTGAGAAAGGGGTGTATGGTAGTGATGTTGTTAGGGAAAAGTACAGTCTTGTTGAATTAGATGTACAGTGCGTTATGTGTTGGTCTACTGGTTATTCTGGCCCCAAGTCTCGAATATAACCTGTTTCCCCAAAGTGAGAAGACATTCCAAGTGCTTTCTTTATGGCTACTTTATAAGTTAGGCGGATGGTGTGCCATTATTATTTTTTTCCTGGTAGAGATGAAGCGCAGAGAAGCGTTTTATTAAATAGTTGTCAAGGAAAGACTTTCACTCAGCCAATGAGCAGAGCAGCTAACTACATCCCTGTTGAAGAGCCCATTCATGACACACTGCAAAGCTGGAGGAGTGTGACTGTATGCAAATAGGATCTGAATAATGGATTTCTTTGTGGAGGTTTCAAAAGAACCAGAAACATATAATGCTTTATAAATAGAGAGCTAAGGTGTTGCTTACAGGAGGCACCCTAGAATCTACACTGTTCTACTTTTTTTTTCCCTTTAAATGCCATAGGTGAAGGCCAAAGGGGCCAATCCCCTTTCCCTGTTGTGAATACTGGGCATCTCCTCTGAATTTGAATACAAAGCTTTGAGGGTGGGGATTTGTTTGAAGTAAAGAAATGCAGGCAAAAGTGTACTGGAGGAGTCTGTGCAAGTTTGTGTGTGGGTATCTGTGCATCATGCAGGCATGTGTGTGTGAGTGTCTGCCCGTGTATGTGCATGCCTGTGAGTGCGTTTGCTGTGTGTGACTGTCTGGTGTGTGTAAGCATGCCTCTGTGTGTGTGTGTGTGTGTGTGTGTGTGTGCACTGCAGTGGGAGAGGCTCTTTCCGCTCAGCCAGTGGCAGAGCAGTTAGAACATCGCTAATAGAAAGGAAGCCGAGAAGAGGCTAGGAAGAGAAACAAGCGTCCTGTTAACAAAAGCTCAGTCTTGTCCCAGAGGACTGACCCACAGAGGGGCAGGGCGAGCAGTGGCTCTCGGCCAGGGAGCTTGGGCTCCCTGCAAATGGTCGCAGGCATCCTGACCATGCCCTTCTCAGGAGGAGTCCTGAAGCTTGGCGCTGGGGAAGTTCTCAAAGCAAAGCCGCGGCAGCCGCTGCAGCAGCCCTGGAGCAGAGCAGCAGATGGAGTGGAGTGTGTGTGTTTGTGAACTTCACTTCTAGGGTTTTTTTTTTTTTTTTCCCCTAATGTGTGGGTTCATGGATTTTTAGTACAAAGAAAGCTCAAACTCAGCTGACCTGAAAGACTGGAATTTCAGCTCTCTTCCTTCCCTGGGATATTTTTCCTCCCCCTTCCTCCCTAAGCCCTTTAAACCAGATTACTGGGTCAGTGACTCATTCAGCTCGCCAGTTCCAAGGTTTCCAGCTCGTTTGGCTTGGAAAGGAAAACCACTACCTGTAAGTATCTGCTTTATGTGATTCCGCTCATCCTGTTCTGTGAGCTGAGTGCCAGAGAGGCTGTTTGCTTGGTGCCTAACACTGAGAAACAATGCAAGAAGTCTGCAGAGGCGGCGCGCAGAAGTTTGATTCTTGTGTTAACTTAGAAGGTAGGCACTTCATCCTGTTCGCCAGCCAAACACCAAAAACGGTGACAAATGTTTCTAATTCTCTTCTGAAGGCATCCCCAATGACCCAGAGTTAGAATGTTTCCTCTCAACTAAGAGAAGTGGAAAAGGGAAGGGATGGAAAAATAACAGAACAGATAATTCAGGGGATAAGAGTGGAGCAATTTGGAAATGATTTCTGGATACTTTTGCTTTAATTTAGTTCCATTTGGATGTGCTCTTCAAAAGCATGTTTCTATATTTTAGGGATGAGGTGTTGGGGAGGCAAAGACATCACCCTGCTCTGAAGTTTTGGTCCGATTTTCAGTTTCCTTACATTAGTAAGATTTGGCCTAAAGACTGGGAGCTGCAGTAAATCATTTCTCACAGTTTTCATCTAGACTGCTAAAAACATTTTTAAGGCACTTGATTTTAGTTTCTTTGTTTTTGTTTTGTTGTACTGATGTGTTGGGCCATGTGTGGAGTGGAGGACAAAGCTTACGAAGAGGGTTTTCAGGGGCTGGCTACTGTTTGGAGGCTGGAAGCCTTGCTGGAGATGTGGCCCTGGTCAGCTCTTCAGGTTTCTGCTGTGGCTCATGATTATCCTTCCAGGCTGTAGTTAAGAGGAGGTGCACCTTAGCTCCACCACTCCTCGAAAGTGCCTGTCCTGCAACTCTGGGAAAATGCTAACTACCATTGCTGCTTTTCTCCACCAGGGGTTCTCAAAATTTAAGGTGGGTAAGAATCTCCAGAGAGCTTGGTAGAAAAGCAGACACCTAGCTCCCACCACTGAAGGATTTTAGACCCAGGGTGGGGCTAGGAATCTGTCCAGGCAAATTTGATACAGGTGACTCCACAATCTGATACAGGTGACACCACATGTAAACATTGCTCTACATTGTCTTTGGCAGTTACATTCTTGTCAAGTATTTGGTTAACACTAAATCTCATATCTAAGTAAGTCTGACCTTGAGTTGATGTTAAACATAATTTACGGACAGCATGGGTTTGCACTCCTGGCTGCCAAACCAGGCCTTTTTATCCAATTTTCCCAACAACCTCACTCTGTTTCCTTGCTTTTTTTTTTTGCTCCAGCTCTGCCTACCTTGTCCAGGAATGAGGGAGTAACTGGCACAGGCACCTCGGTACCCTGTGACCTTGCTGCCAGGGTTGGGCTCTTCAGCCTGTTCTTCTACCTCATGTCTGACCAATGTCTGTCCTGGGCCATTTAAACCCAGAGATCTTCTACTTAATTACTAGCCTTCTGGCACTTCTCAGATCCCAGGGCTAGAGTAGCGGAATTGCTTGGGTTGGTCAGGAGAAATCTCATCCCTAGAAACTGTTTATATGGGGCCAACAAGGATTGGAGGCACAAGGTGTGAAGAAACAGAAGTGGTTTGTCCATCGCTTTGAAAGTCCTCACTTTCCAAAATCTGAAAGCCAAAACTCTGAGCTGACCCAAAATTAAAACACAATGTGGATTTTGAAGCCATTTCCCTTCTTGCTTCTCCTCCTTCCCAGAATTTGGGTTCCCTGCTACAGGACAGGCTCCAGGTTGCTTTCTAAGGACTCTTAAATGAACAACCTGAGCACTGTGGGCAGGGTCTCCTCTCTGTGGCATTTCCAGTCTCAGCTGCTGCCCGCCAATCTTGGAAGAGCTGAACAACCGTTCCAAACTTCACTTCTTCTGTCAGTAAACTGAGGCAGTTTGTGAGTTTGAGTATCTTTCTGGCTCTTATGTCCTGCATTGGTGGAAAGGTTCAGTTTTAAAAATGCAGTCAGAGAATGTAGAATCTGTTTAGTATTTGCTTTGGACCCAAATAGGCCTAATGACTTAGTTTACTATTTTACTTCAAAAATTTAAATTGTACCTAACAAATTTTCTACCTCTCCCAAAGAGTCAAGACCACCCATTTACTGAGCCGACGAATGTCACCTTCTCGGAGGGCACAGCCCTCCTTCCTGAGGGATCCTGTGTCTCCTCAGCAAGGCTGCTTCTCTGCGCCAGCTTGCTTTTTATCTTGTCTGAATCTGATGTTGCCGCTGCTTGGAGAGCTGGGTGGTCTGAACGGGCATGTTAGCTTCCACAGTGCGCAGTTGCAACCTGACCCCTCCATTCAGGGGACTCCCCCGCTTTCCTATCACCAGGTGAGAGGCTCACACAGAGGCCTTGAGGGGCTGGGAAAGACAAAAAGCTAACAGAAAACTCACTCCCTAATGGAAGCTGCCCTGTATTGTATTTTGTCTGTGAAGTAGCTTCTCTTACTGCCAAGACGGGGCTGTATTTAAAAGGGCTCTGAAATTTGGGCGTCAGGGAAGGAGAGACCCATGTGCTTTTCTGACAAATGTATCCTCAAACTGTCTGAACATGCTGTTTGAGAGGGAAGCGATTGATCAAAGTCAGGATTTTTTCCCCTGTGCTGGGGATTGAATCAAGGGACTTGCATAGGGTAGGCAAGAGCTCTACTGCACAGCCACGCCGCTAGCCCTTGGTTAATATTGTAAGGTAACTGTCCCTTACCCCACACTGTTAAGTGTTCACAGGAGAAGACAAAAACAGTTTTGGTTTTTTCCTTATCCTTCTTTATTTTTAGGGGTTTGATGATATTTGGAAATGTGTATTAAAAGATGATGCCCAAATGCTCCTTTGTGTGTCCCCCCAACGCTGCTAGGATGACATTCACTTTTTACCCGTAACTTCATTCTTGAAACTTTCCCATCTGGCTGCAGGGAGACAGGCTGATAAGTGCTCCAGGGCTCAGTGCAGAGGCCGTGCAAGGGCGTCCTCCTGCCCTGGGACCCATCTCTGTGTTCTGTCAAGCGTTATCAGCTGCTCAGAGCTCACAAACACCCCACATACCTCTCTTAAAATAAATGAGCCACATCTTTGTGTCATGAGCTTGAGCTCTATGCCATGGTGTCTTCACTTCAAGGCCTCAACGTGCTGTTAGCAAAAGCCCCCCACAAAAACCAAAAACCACTGAAAACATCTCTTCAGTTTTTGTAAATTGTAGACTACAATCATCATAAAGTTGAGACTACTATATCAGAAAGGATAGAAGTCTCTAGATGAAGATCCATCCCAATATTTTAAAATTCAGGGGCATTTACTGTCAAATCCCTCTCACAGCCCAGATTTATCTTCCTTACTTAAAAGTGATCCTACTGAGAAAGACAACACAGCAACAACACAACAGCAAAGCTTAATTCTGTTTATGTAAACTTTCTCCTCTATAACATGGTGGGAATTTTCTATTTCATTTAATAAACATTAGTGGTTTTTTGTATTTTAGGGAAGGGTCTACAGGGTGTTTAGGGTCTCACTACTAGATCCTACTCGTGATCTGCCTGTTTATAGCCTCCCAAGAGCTGGGATTACAGGCGCGCATGCCACCACACCCAGTCTCAATGGCCATCTCAGTGTGCCCTGGGGGTGGGGCTGGCATAGAAACCTGGGGATCGAACCTCCACCCCCTATGCCTGCTTGCAGGCACTTTAATCCACTGAGCTACTTGGGTGGCCCTAGTGGTT